TTGAGATTTCCCGCTCATTGTTGCATCTACGGGGAGCTCTTGGTGCGCTTGTACTCATGATCCAATCATAGCAGCGCATTTCGATTTGAGGCAGGTGACACCATGTTTTCAAATTTACTTATGAATATAATGACGTGTCATGTCCCCCCTCCTCAGACTCGTGCACTTATTTTGGAACAGAGGGAGTATATGTTATTAGTAGTGGATCGCGAAACATCCGGATAATTAACCGGAAATTAGTAGGGGGGCTCCTCGGCCTGGTTCGCTTCGCTCCCGGCCTCCGGTGCTCCCAGACATTAGATAGATCATTGCTGTTATACTGAGTCGCTGCGCGGGCGAACGGGCCTGGTTCGCTACGCTCCCGGCCCTGGCCTAAGCTAGGTCCTGATAGTTCCGGATAAAATGTTTCGCGATTGTTTCGTGACCATCATTCTCTCTTACAACAATGTATTGACACTATTTTGGAGTGTTGGTAATTGTTTCGCAACATGCCAACTAATGCGTAATAGTTCATGGTACAGATCAACGACAAATACGGTAGTTCTCCATATGATTCCCGTAGATTAATCTGTTGGTTTTGGTTCAATATGGACACACATGCCAGCAACTCGACTACTTGTAGTCCAACTCGTCAAAGGTCTCTGAATGAAACGCTAATCGTGCCAGAACCAAGTTACCAGGAAACAGCGACATTTAGTGTGGTGTTACTACGTACTATTTAGTAACTATTTAGTGTGGTGTTACTATATTTAGTGTGGTGTATTACTACTTCGAAGTATTTAGAGTGGTGTATTACGACTACAACCCTTGGTCATGCCAAAAACGAACTTTTTGTTTTGTTTATTTGGTGCTGACTCGCTCCGAGTTTCAGGTGCAACATACACACACTCTCGTTTAGTGTGGCCAAAACTGATTTTAAATGTTTGTATCCTGGGCTACTTACTGTATAATACTGTTATATACTGTATATATATATATCGTACTCGATATAGAGTGTACTCTTGTATTGCTATACTACTTTCATCTCGTCCATCATTCGGTTCCTTTGTGTGCATACAACACATACTAACGTAACGAGTCAATTTATGGACATGCGCCAATTTATGGACAGGGTGCACCAGCCAATCAAAATCAAGTTCAACTTACTCTAATACTGAAATACTTTTGTAACCCAATATCGCACACAGAAATAAATTCAAAGAGAATGAATTATCCAAACAGCAGCAAAGGCGCGAAAATCTGAAGCTCATTAAATAGAAAAAGCAAGGTGAAATAGTCCTTTTACTTGATATTTCGTGTTGTGGTGTGGTTTCTCGTTGGAATTTAAATCGATTTGATTGGCTACTTCAGATGAGCTCAAAATTATTAGCCAATCAAAACCTTCTCAATGAAATTCAACCAATCAGATCGATTGTGGATCGGTTCCGTCGGCGCGATTCGATTGCACCCCCTCCCCAAATTTGTATCAAATCGACAATAGTCCTTTTACTTGATATTTCGACTTTTGTGCTGATTCTTTGCCAAATCGATCGATCGATTCTTTGTTTGACTGACGTTTGTATGTAAAGATCGTCCAACATCACACGAATTTCAATCACACACTAATTCGATGTTGAATTAGAGTGGATAATTTGATTGGCTAGTTGATTTATGTTTTGATTGGTCGATATATCGATTGTCTGTCGATGTGGTGATTCTGCTCATTCGATTGAGAACGCCAACACTCGAATTTCGAATCGAATGAACAATACTTCGTACTACATATTCTTGCAAGATTCTTCAACTCGATTTCTACTTCCACACCCACTGGTCGGACGTCATGATGCGGGGGCGCGGAGGTTCCCGGGTCACTTTCTGTGGGTGCAACGTCGCGTGGCTGGCCAAGACGCGCTGGACGCGGGAGAAGGCACACACGGGGCACGGCGCCTCCATTGTCTTGGATCGTTGGTACTCGGCGACGAGGGTCGCGGCGGTACGGGGCACGGACGGGAAGTCAGTCGCCATCTTCTTTTCAAAGAGGGGCACCACATCGTCTTGAAACACCCGGGCGGGGAACGCGTGGCCGCATGAGAAGACGACGGCATGGGTTTCGATGGGGTCGGTGCTGCCAAGCGCTGCGGGCGTCTGCCGTGAGATGGCTACGTGGCGCAGGTCCGTGTGCTGGCGGTGGATGTTTTCGAGCACAGTGTCGAGGATGGATGGGTCAACTGTAGGGGAAGGAATATGAAAGGGAGGCTCGTGGGGGGGGGGGGGGGGGGGGTCGGCTGCGGGGGGGGTGGTTTCTTGGACGGATTTGGCCGAGGACAACCTTATGTGGCGGTGGCAAATGTCGAAGTAAAACCGCCCTGAGAACGGCAGCGTGGTCTGACACTGGGAGACCCACCCCCGATCTCGAATGTCAAACGAGTCTGGTGATGTAAACAAGAGCATGGCCACGGGCGTGATATCTATATCACCACATCGAGCCAAATTACGAATGAATGCGAGTTGTAGCCACAAGGAGGAGGATTCAAATGGACTACTAGTAGCAACAACAGGAACCCATACAATGGAGCTAGGTCCAAGGCGAGATATAGAAAAGATATAAGTCGGTTGAATTGGACAAAGGTATATTTGAGAATGTCCGAGCCAATCCAACGTCGCCAACGTGAAATTTCAACCAAGCATATATTAGTATAGTTTACTGTTAGCCCAGTCAAAATGTTGTTTATCTTCAAATAGAAATACCATACATTGCATAAGCTTAAATTCCACTATCCATATATATATATATATATATATTATATTCATACAAATCGAGCGGTAGAGAAGATATGCTTTTCAGTCGAGGGAATGCAGAGCCCGCATATCAAACAAGACAAGTCGATATATTCGAAATTGGAGTGGTTGGGTGCTCAATTGAATGAACCCAATCGGCAGACAATCAAAAATCGACCAATCAAAACCCAGATATCACGAATCAAGTAGCCAATCAAATTATCCACTCTGGACCAAGTCAGCATCGAATTAATGTGTGGCTGAAATTAGTGTGATACGCATTTTACACACTAAAGACAATCGATCGAAGATAGATTTGGCGAGTAGGTCAGCACAAAAGTAGTCCATATGTTGGGTAAACGAAGAACATTTGTATCTAGTAGATACTAGTTGTTTGTACCAGATTGCTGGGAAATGTGACGCTCCAGCACTTCAATGTCGTAGCGCATGGCGTGCCAGTGAACCAACAGCCGCGCGAGCACCGACACGCGCATCGGCGGCGCCATCACACTCGAAAACACAAGCGATTCCAATAGACCCACCAGTTCTTCATGTGTCTTCATCACATGATGAGCCTGTGGATTCCTAATATGACAACAGAAGCATCAACACCGAAAAAAGCTATGTCTTTGATATATCATTACGAAATGCCAGATCGACTACTAGTAGTACTACTACTAGTAGTAGTCGATGTGTATCTTGCATATATATATGTATTTCAAACTCGTTCATGAAGTCAACCCAAACTCGCACTCCTTGGCTAGGTACTATATCATACTAGGCATAAAAAGTACTACTACTACTACTACGATGGGAGGGCAATAGTATATGAGTACACACTAGTATAGGATGTTGTTCCAACACAAATCTCTACACAACTCAAACCATTCTCAACAACCCCACCAACGTGTCTACTAGTAGTACCCCACCGTAGTGAACATATACTAGAACTAGCACTACTAGTACTACTAGTAGTACGTACGACAATGAAGAAGAAGGTTCAATGTCGTGCAGGTGCAGTTTGCACTCGATGGCATCGACCCACTCGCCTTGAGCTTCATAGCACGCGGCGGCCGCGGCCCAATTCCCATACTCGGCGCATCGGAACACCATCACAGGCGGCCGGTACTGCTTGCTCCATCCCCCAAGCAGTTGCACCAGATCTTGCTGTGAGAACGCTGTCGGCACCTTGCTGGGGGGCGTGTCGAGGCTGGTGCAATTCAATCGCAGCAGCAACGTCAGAAACAACTCCACTCGTTCCTCCAGGGTCACAGGGATGGCTTCTGACGACGCCACGTCACTGAGCGACGCTGGCACCCCGTTGTTATACGGCAATAACCCACCATCGCTCGACTGAAATTGGACAGAGTCGAGTGTCCGCGGGTCCAAAGTCGACGCCAGCGCCACACACTCGGCGTCGGTGGCGTCCGGCAATACGCGCACGAGCCAATCGCGCTGTGCCCATATCGCCGACGGATGCTTCAGAAGGACTTTGAGCTGGACGGACAGCGGCAGCGATCGAAATAGCACGCGCGCCTCGGGGGCAGTTAAATTGGACGCGTGATGCTGACTCAGTAATGTATCCACCTGGCAAACTCACAAGGGTACATGAATATAACACAGAGATAGGACAAGGAATGCAAGATATATCGAAGACAAGCGTTCGTGGCCTGTGCAGGAATATATATATATATATATATATATATCGGTTTTATATATTTATCAAGAAAGATGGCTACGGTAACTACACTAGGTGATCTCACTGGAGAAATCACCAGCAGGGTTCTGTAGTGGTGACCAAGTTGGTTTCACAAGTATAATATATCATCGGATACATATGCATATAATATACATATATATATATATATATATATATCCAAACGATACCCATGAACACTCGATACAAAATATGACGCACGCAATGCATGCCAGATGGATACTTCAATTTCATGCCAGATTGGACACCTCATATTGATGCCAGATGGGCCACTTGCCATGCCTCATATGGATGCCAGATTGGACACTTCAATTTCATGCCAGATGGGACACTTCATGGTGATGTCGTACACACCTGCGCCTCGGACAAGGTCATGCCGACATGTTGCAGCGCATGGAGGGCCGCGTCCACATGATGTCTGGCGTGTCCAATGAGAAGCGCCGCGTCGACACACTCAAAATCGACGCATCTGGCGATTGCAAACACCGTGTCGAAGTCTGCATTTGACTGTAAGAACCATAGGAACCACGCCCAGTCTTTGGTTGCTGGGCAAGTTGCTCGGTGGTGCAGCTTGAGTGCCGACGTGATGACTGCGTGCGCAACAAACTGGCGGTCGTGCTTGTACGAGGGGCTGGGCAACGCCAGCGCTTCCTTGGCGTACTCGATGGCGTTCACGCCGCCGTTCTGCAGCAAGTTCTGGAGGGTCGTGGATGGCATCACGTGCCCCGACTTGGCGTACAGCCGCATCACCCATTCACAACTGTTGCGCGACATCTTCTTATTTGTATGGTCGGCACAGATGGCGTCGGCCACGGACTCGCTATAAGAGAACGACCATGAATAAATACATATATTGTCGATTTGATAGTACAAATTTTTGGGGTGCAATCGAATCGACCAAACCGATCCACAATCGATCTGATTGGTTGAATTTCATTGAGAAATGGGTTTTGATTGGTTAATAATGTTGAGCTCTTCTGAAGTAGCCAATCAAATCGATTTAAAGTCCAACGAGAAACCACAACACAACACGAAATTTCACTGGAAAGCACAATAATTATTCGCCACGTCGTTGTTGATGGTGTTGTCGAAGCATTTGAAGGATTTATATATATATATATATATATATATATATTTATGTATGTATATATGTAGATTGAAACGTTCAAAATGGACCTTGAAACAAAAACGTTTCCAAGCAAAGTGATATATATATATATAAATATATTCTTATTTGAATGTATATACAACACGGTTCCAAATGTATCAAGGCCTATGTAAATGGCATGTGTATACGTTGATGAGAAAGCGAGGATATATAGATATATATTTTAAATATATATACATATATATATATATATATATATTTACCACAACGCCGCCATGTCCAAGCCCAGCGCATACCCGATAAAGACGGCGTGTTGCACGTGCATTGTACGTGTATACAACGCATGAAACAGCGTCGACGATGTCCATTTGGGTCGGCATTCGTACACCTATACAAATATATATACATATATACGACAAATCAGTGTACACCTACAGACAACTCTCAACAAAATAATAATAAATGCATCACGTCTCATAAAATATTTCACATATATATAAATATATATAAATACATGCGCTTCAAAGTAATTTTTGAAAAGAAACCAGAGTCAGGCGACGGATTACGGTGTATGTATGTTGGTAGTTCTTGGAGATACGATAATACGTAACATATATATATATAGGGTACTATTTACTTGGTGGTCAGTGTGTACAAAGTAGGCGATCGTCGACGGCTGGTCTTTCGACGAGGCATGGCCCAACTGCGCGTGCCGGACCCATTCATCTTCGCGCAGCTTGAGCGTGTGCACGACCTGGGTCTCGACGTCATCCTGGCCACGGTCGTCGTCGTCATCTCCTACAGCTCCACCACAGCATAAATCACAACACTGGGAATGAAAACAGATATACAAATAGACGTCATCCCAAATGTACTTTGATCGACCATAATCTGTATATAAGAACACACTAAACCCTCGATACAAGCACGCAACAAGTCCAAATCAAACCCATCATCAGTCTTCATGAACCGTGAATCCAACAACTAGAATTACTAGTCATTCTTGGTATGATGCACACCATGACCATCCACACACACTACGTATAGAGTCAACCCCAGTTTATAGGAAGTACTAGTACCAGTACTACTACTAGTACTACTACTAGTAGTCATTCTTGTCATGTATGCACACCACAACCGACCACCAACTATCTATCCATCTATCTCGACGATACACGTTCCATCCGTTTCAAACACAGCTAGTACTACGAATACTAGTACTACTAGTACTACTACTACTACTACTACTACTACGTAGTCATTCAAGCACCTTCCATATCTGTCAAACAGTTAGTACTACAAATCATTGTTATGATGTACAGTAAATATACACCACAACCCCATCCATCCACACATACTTTAGTCCAACACGTAGTAAGTACTCCTACTACTCCTCCTACTACTCCTACTACTAGTAGTAGTACGGAACAACCACAATATCCTGCTACTAGTAATCCTACTACTACTACTACTACTAGTCATTGTGGTTGCATAACACTCGTACAACCCTCACCTGAAAGCACCGCAGATGATGGTGACGTTGGTCGTGGTCGTCGTTGAATCGACACCCACAGAGCAACGTTGTGGGTTTTGCGGGCCACTTGAACAAGGAACAACTGGGACGAGCACAAGGCGATTTTGCCGACTTGGGGGGGAGGAGGGTTGCCATCTGCTTCGAGGACTGACGGGGGAAGCGTCAGTGTTCTTAGTAGCGACCATGTAAAGTCGTTCGAGTACAGCCGCACGGAGCGTCCGTCGCACACGGCCAGGAGATCCTCCTCCTTGTCGTCGTCGTCCGTCGCCCGGTGGACGACATGCACGGACGCGGCGGCGCCAAAATGTTTGATCCGTACGGGTCGGAATGATGCTGTATCTTGGAGAAAATGGTCGGGAAAGGTGGTTATCATGGCGTGATCTTTTCGCATTTCCAGCAGCACTTGAAAGAACCAGGACGTGGCACCGTCGGGATGCTGCTTCGTCGTTTCAACCAACAGAGTCGTGGTCGTGGCCGTTCGAACTAGCTCCATGCGCACGATTTTGCCTATTTAATATTTGAAATATTATTACTAAATATATATTTAGGCATATAGCCACAACAATCATGTATATGTACTATACAATAGTGGCGCACGTGTACAGAACATGGGGAAAAGATAGATGATGCAACTATAGATGAAAAGGATAAAATATAGAAAAAGATGTATAGATGATGCAATGAAGATATAGATCAAGAAAAATAGACCATCGCAATGCAAATAGATGAAGTAAATGAAGATATAGATGAAGAAGAAGAGACCATCACAATGCAAATAGACGAAGTAAATGAAGATGAGGTAAGGTATCAAATTGCAAATAGATGATGCTCAAGATGAGGTAAATGAAGATCATGTAAGGTACGATACATACTGTATATAGATGAATATGTAGATGATATAGATAGATGATGATGAAATAGATGAAGGAGGGGGCGCTGGAGACCGAGGAATCATACCGGAGAGCTCGCAGCGGCAGCACTCGACGTTGGTTTCGACATGCACAATCGAAATCAAGTCAGACGAGGACCCTAGCAGCACGTAGTTGCGCCCGTTGAATGACCGCCACCACGTCACACATGTCGGCGATGACATGCCCTGCGCAAACTCGAGCACGCTCATGTCCTCGCTGTCCCCCGTGACCGCGGAATTGTACTTGGCGCCGTTTTGGCCATGTGGTCGCAGGAACGACAGCATCTACATGAGGACGCGGAACTATGATCATGGCATCTACAAACGGAGACTGATCATGGATGTGTCTTGCCTTGGTCGACATGGCGCTCGGTGCGACGCTCATGAGATCCTCGGGGGTGCCGTCGCGCAGATGCATCTACCGAACGAAGATAAGCGGCACTACTCCATGTATGGGAAAACGAGGTCGAAGGACGGGGATGTACCTGGAGAGAAACCTTGCGTTCCCGGGTAACCAAGGACGCGACAGGCACCAGAAGAAGAAACGTACGCAACCCCGATGACACGATCACGGCGAGCCAGTCGCCTTCGGGGGCGAATTCCAATCCGACGACGTGGTGTTGCTGCTGCAAAGGCGTCGTCGAGCTTCCGTCTATGGTCGTCGGCAGTTTGGAGGTCGGTTGCAACCGCTCCAACGCCATTGCCCACGGCAGGCGCCAGTAGCGGGGATGCAGGTCTTCTTCAAGGGAGCGGAGGAGGAGGGTTTTATCCGCACAGTAGAACGCTTGGAACTGCTTCTTCGCGGCGCATCGAGACGCGAACGCCAAGATCACATTCGTCTCGTCCGAGTTTTCCAGTGGGAGTTCGATGACCTGTAGAAGCCGGCGTGTCTGGAATACACTGTGCGGCTCTCCCGTCGATTCGTCGCCGCCATCGCTCGCCATCGTTGTTGTCGGCAATGAAAATGCAAAACGATGGAAAAACGCACGTTTTACCTAGAAAGGGCGTTTTACCCTATAAACCTCAAATTGTATGAAACAGCTTATTGGTTGTTTTGTGACAATACAGGTTAAACTACATTAGCCGCTTTCGACTTTCAGGTTATATACAACATCATGAGCATGAGCTGGGAATCCTTCCATGCCGCCGCGTCCGCGCTGCTGAGGTTTCAAGCTGCCCTTGTGGAGTCAAATCACATGTATGCCGCCGAATGGAACTGGGCATGGGAGTTGGCGCCACCGTCGAGTCCGTTACATGTATGCCATACAGCTTCCGACATGTTGACCTGATCGAATGATGTAGAAAGTGCTTCCTGGCTACGGGTACTTGATCTCGCGCAACAACGTCCGTGAGTTCGTCGCTGCAGGAACCCATGACGTCCCATCCAGTGTTGATGGTAGTCTTGAAGACGCATTCGTCGATGACGAAGATGCGGATTGCCTTGTCGACATGGATCCGTGCGTAGTGCCGTCTCCCTCCCAGCATGCCTCCTCCGTCAACCACGACATGTGCATGTACGAGTTTCACGTGGTGTACAGTCCTACGTACAAGGTGCCGCTTCTCTTCCTCCGCGGCCATTACGTCGGTACGATGATGCATGCATGATTCGATGCGAGGGGGCTTCATACTTCTCTCGTAGATGGCGCGCTGGTCCCGACGTCGGTCATTCAAGCGCACATGTCCACGTTCGTCACCAAGTTCATCTCCCAAGATGAACATCCCGTCCTCGGCCTGCCGTTTTACTTTTTGCATCCTTGCGAGACTGCCTCTTGCCTCTCACTCCTCGTTCCCTCTGCGACACTGTCCCCATCGACAACATCATCATCCACAGCACCTTGTCCGCTGCAACATTTGCTGGCATGGCTCACCCTAGTCCAGCCCTGTACCCACATCCGCGTCCCAGTGCCGTTTGCAATCTCGTACCTCCGCTCCTCCCCTCCATGACACACCCAGCCATTACGTTCGACATGCCAGCCTCCATCACACATCATCACGTTCGAGTGCTTCTCGTCCTATCCTTCCTCATACTAGTAATAGTATGCCCACTTCAACGCGATACACTAATTAATACCAATGACACCGTAGTATTAACTAGTACTAATAGTTAATACTACATAGTACCAATGACACCTTGATACACTAATTAATTCAAAAGACAACTTGATACACTAATTATTAAATTCCAATGACAACTTGATACACTAATTAATAACTTGATACACTAATTAATTCAAATGACAACTTGATACATTAATTAATACCAAAGACAACACTAATTAATACCAATGACATTCATGTCAACTAACGTTAATCATTATTGGAGGTGTCGTTATTTACCGCTGCGTACATGCTGCATCCCAACCACTAACATACTAACTATACTACGTAGTAGTATTACGTTTTGTACATAGCTATATCAGCGTTTAGTACATAGCTATATCAGAGCCTATGAAGTAAGTAGTCACCGTATGCATCATGTACAGACGATCGAACGATGTCACTGATTCGTCCGTCCTAGCTATATCCTGTACCCCAGCCTACGCTACAGTAGCGTCACTAAAGCATGGGATCGAACGCTGTCACAGGTGGTTGTCCTCGTGTAGCGGCTTCTAACAAACCAACGTACGTACATTGTACATACATATATATACACACACTCTCTGCGAACGGTGTCACACATATGGTGTGTGTGTCTACAATTCGATGCCTTCCATCTTGAGTGTCTTGAGGCGCTGCAGTACAATGCCAGAGTTGGGTCGCTTGGTCGGGTTCAAGTGCAGGCACGCGTGCACGAGCTTCTGAAACTCTTCCGGCAGAACCATCCATTTCGAGCTCTTGGGATCGTACGGCAGCGGCACCCCCTTGCCCGCCATCACGCTGTCCACCATCCACACGTCGGTGTGTACTGTCCCCACCTAGTTTCATTGAAATATATAGATTATATATCCACAGGGAAAAACAGCGACGACTTGATTCTACTTCGTCCGATATATTGATACAAAAAACTCAAATAGTCTCTCTCTCTATCTATATATATATAAATGTCTATTTTATACATGTCGTCAGGCCACTAGGATCATATGCTTCAATGGTTCGTCAAGAACGTGACAAAATTATAAAAAAAGTCGATCCCACCATGCATATATATATATATATATATCCCACGTTTTCAAATATATTTTTTCATTCCCAACAGGCCTATTATATATAATACATAGTATCTCATATTTGAAACAACATAAATTATACATACTGAGAGACACACGGATATCGTTTTCATCTCAGTTAGGTCGTCAGTCCCATCCATATCAAAAACATATTTCCAACATGCACATATCGATCATTATATATATATATATATATATAAATCGCCACCACAATATATATCGGCATCCCAAAAGCTGCTTCAAGCTCATCCCATGACACAATACACTCTCTTCCCTCATGCCAAATGGCCACGAAAAATCGTTCGAACACATCATAAAGCACACCCATTTCACGATTTCCAGATGGGACAGCACACTTGTACGACCTCCTACCTCGCTGATTTCTCGATCAAACGGCCGTGTGGCAGTACCAATTTCGGCGAGCACCACCCCCAGCGAGTACATGTCGGCGGCTAGAAAGTTGTGCATTTCGTTCTTGAGCACTTCGGGGGCCCGCCACGCGAGCTGGTTGTTGCCATACATTTCCTTGCACATGGTACTTGCCTTGTACGACGCCATGAAGTTAAAGATATTGAGTTTGCATGCAAACGAAGATGAGACGAGGATGTTGGAGCTGCGGAGGTGTTCCACGGGCACGGGGATCGGCATGAGCGTGTGCAGGTAGTGGATGGCTTCGACGACGTCGGTGGCCATGTCCAGCTGGACTTCCCATGTCAGCGGCATCGCCTGGTACACTGAGATGAGGCTGCCCTTGTCCATAAACTCGGCGACCGCGTAAATATCCGTGCCGCTGAGACACGTTACGCCCATATATGTGACAAGGTTGGGATGACTCAGCCGCGCCATCTCCTTGACCCCCTGGAAGAAGCTGTCTGTGACGTGGTCCCCGGCAAACCGCGGGGCGCGGCGCAGCACAATGCGCACGTTCGCAGTCTCCATCTCGCCCATCCAGATGTCCCCGCCAAGGCACCGCGCCAGCTGGACGTCCGCCGCGGGGATCTTGGTCAGCGATGCGTCGTTCGCGCCCGCCGTCTTGAACTTGGACATGGTTTGCGTTGTCGCATACACTTCGTCGATGCCATAAAAGTCGTCGTCTGGTGAGTTCGAGTTGAGTGCGCCTGGCGACATGTCGGTGGCGTGGCGGCTGCGACGATGTACGACGATAGCCACGAGCACGAGTAGCGATGCGATGCAGCTGACAACGACGAGGGTTGTGATGGCGCTAGCCGACGGGCCCGGGCTGATGGGGATGGCCGCTGTCAACGGCGACTTGTCTACATGTACATGACGTGACATTCGTGGCCATTTGGAAGGCCAACAATGATCAAAAGGTCGTACAATTGCGGCAAAATTTCGACATGTACGCGGGCGGACAGTCTTGGAATACCGTGCTATGCATCGACAGTTTGGTTGTGTTGACGAAGTCGTTGAACTTTTGGAATTGAGCGTCTGAGATGAAGTTGGGATTGATAAATTCATTGTGCGAGAGGTCACTACAGCAATCAGCCACGTCATGGAGAGATCGATGGACATGCATAGACAGGGGGGTAATCATGTACATGGTGGCGAGGTTGTCCATGTCGAGGACTTCGGAAGGGAATGGCCACACGTCGATGCTGTTGTAGCTCCTAACTCATATATGAGGACACGCGAGAGAGATGGAACAGCATGGGGAACGTACAGCGTCGACAAGGACGAGATGCCAGTGGGAGGCAGCCGAGTCATGAGGCTTCCTTGGACGTTCCTACGTACGCCACATGAAGACAATGCGATGGATGGATGGATGTTGAAGGACAAGTGACGAGCGTACAACGTCATCAATTGAGAGTTCGACGTTAGGTTCAAGCTGGACGTGTATGTGTTGCTAAGTGTCCTACACACGATCATAAGCGACAACGAAGCGAATATGTCATTTATCGTACAGCTCGGACAGCGACTTGGGCAGGTACGCGTACTCGTTCAAGTCGACGACAAAGTAGTCGACCTGCGGGTCGTCCTTCCCTGCCATGCTGCTCGGTCGGCCGCCGTGAAACCGCCTACGACATGCAACAAGGTGAGAAAACGCGGCGGGATACCGTGGACGGACGTACAAGTTGGCCAGGCCATTCATGGACGCAAACGTCGAGTTGTTGAGGAGCCAGTACACCTTCCCTTGTGCGTACGCTCGTCGGAAGACCCTATTATGGAATATGAACATTCATGTCGATATTTGCTTGTGGTGGGGAAGGATATGTGATGGTGTACAAGGTCGAGACGAGGTTGGACGGGTCTGAGCACGTGAGCCTCGACATGTAGTTGGTCGGGATCTCATACGTGCACGTCAGCGGCTCCGCACATAGTTTGGGCAGAGCTGCCTCGACAACGTTCACGGTGATTGTGTTGGTGCGGGGGGTGCAGATCGGGTCCAACGTTTGACATGCAAGGCACAATTGCGACGTCGTGACACTCAGCGCGCATTTGAGCGCGGGCGACGCCGGCGTGGCTTGCACCGCCACAACTCCTAGGCCTGCAAGCAAGACGCATCCTGCTTTCAACATGATGGGGGAGGTGTGTACTTCCTTCGCGCGCCGGCCAAGTCGGAGATCGCTTCGCGGGTTGGATGCTCTCCAGAAGTGGAATTGTGCGACTTCGCCATCCACGATATACTTGATATTTGTATACCTTGGCAACGCCCTGGCTTAAATATACCAAGTTACTCACGAACTGAATACAACTCCGTCCCGCTTCTTCACACTTGATGTTTGTATACTGTAGAACCTATTGTTTTTTAAATCGGCCTTTCAATATGTCGACCAATTGTAATTGCGGAAAACACTCGGGAATACTCCGTATACAAACACCAAGTCACTACAACCTGTCCACACCGTTCATATAGACCAGGTTTCTGTTAAACTAGGCAAAATCACGGTCGCAGCCCTGAATGATTGAAATGTCGTTAATAGAAGAAGACTGCCTGGTCTACGTAGTAGAAGCTTAAATTCTTTGTACCCTTCATGCAACACTACGTTGTAAGCTCAAGGGTGTGTGTGGCCTTGGTTCAATGGCATAGCCTACAACGTGCCACTCAGGCGTCAGTGTAAGTACCCAATTACTACTTCAGGAAACGCGAAAAAGTCAATAGAATTAAAATGGGCCTGCCATACTGCAAAACGCGGCTAAAGGTTGCGAGAGAAAAACACTGGCATAACAACCTCGCGGTACTCATCTTTTAATTGCCTTGGCAAAGTACGATGCACAGACTCGTATGTACAGGATGTACTTATTGATACTATATCAGTAGAATTGTTTCACGTTGAGGGGTTTCGGATATGCGAGTCCTTTGTATTGCAAGGAGATTGGATTTACAACTACTTTAGCGGAAATGACGCAAACTGGCCCGGCTATGACATCACGTTTTATGTCTTTAGCGTTTTCCTCGCTTGACCTGGACCTATCCGGCAGTTCTACGGCGTTTAACGTGTTTAACCTATCCATTTCAAATACGTTTCACAGGCTAGCATTGCCCAACATGCACACACACCATTATCACCACTTTTCTTGAGCATTACACCTTGAAGATCCATCGCGCAGAGAGTATACATAGTATACATACACTTGACTCCATCCATCGCTCAGCCAGTGCGACATGGTACCTCCTTGGCCAGAAAAACCATTGTCGGGTTCTAGATTCATGTCAATGACAGGTACTAGTACTATGTACTGGTATGTAGTAACCAATACTAGTACTACGTAGTAGTACTGTGTAGTTGTACGTCTGTATGAGAGCCTTTCGATCTCGCATAAGACTACGGTATCAATCCCGCTACAGTACACTCCTCTACTCGTACCTCCACATTCCCATGTCGATGGTGGCTGCTTTCGCCCTGGATCCTATACAGTACTGCGTAGTAACACACCATTGCAACAAGTCAAATCGCTTGCCTACTAGCCTACCACAAGTCGACAACCCATCGACGGCAGCAAAGGGCATCTACAGTGACCACTACAACAACACCACACTGTCACCTGCCTCTGAAGCCTTCGTCAGAGCGTTGTCGGCTCCAAGTCGTCCTCGTCGTTGATTGGCTACTGAAGTATCCGTTTCAAAATCTGGCCAATCATTGTGCTTTCTAGTCTCGACATCACTGGCATCGAGCATCACTTACGTTCATTGGAACCCACCCCTTTGAATATAACAACCAACTATTGGCATAACGTTAAATATGTACTTTTCCACTTGTATTAATACCAGTTATTGTTTCAATTTTTTGGTCTTATATTAGCCTTGTGAAGTGTCGACTGGTACCGTGCTACGCTCCACAACTTTGAACCAAGTCCACGCGAATATGCGGCGCCAGGAGCACGGACATATGTCCAACCAACATGCAAGAGATGATGCCGTTGGCCCATCCTTGTCTAGACAGAGTCAACGTTGGGTTACCAGTCAGCGTGCTGATGGGGATTCATTTACCATGTTGATACCCAGCCGACGCTGCACTGATATAGAATAACGTACGTACATGGAAGTCAAGTACGTATATGGAAGTCAAGACATTCGAGTTTGGCAAGGCCACCGTCGCGAGGTTGCAATGTATGCATGTGCTACAGGAGTAGGAGGTATGTATGTATGTATGCATGGTCATGGCAAGCGCAGAGACACTGCTACTACTTGTACTACTAGTACCCGAACAGAGTTGAAGTTGATCGAGTGTTTGCTGAGGTCGTTGACATTCGTGTCGTATACGTGTCTATATGATCGCACCAGATATTAAAGAAAGGGATGTGTGACATGGTTTCGTACAAGGCGCGGAGACGCTGGAACGGAAGATAGTCGTGGCGGAAATCAAATGACGTGGACGTACGTGCGACGAACGGCCACGGAGCGATCTACGATCACCAGACGCAAATAACATCAACACTGACTGGTAGAATAGACGATATGTACATGGATTCGACGACGGCAGGTTTGGATTCGTGGGGCGACTCCTCGACCCACGCCGACGAGTTGGCCGCGAAAGGTGTCGCCAACGCTGCGGCGGTCTCAGCCCGAGTAGTATACGGGAAGACGATGGAGATGTCATGGCGATGGTTCAGCACAATTGACGATGATAGACTGTGTCAAAGTGTCATGACAGGATGCGCCGCGACGGCAAGTGATGAGGGTCGTCCTTCGCATCATCCACATGTCGTAGCATGATCACATGATCACGAGGAAGTGCTTGCATGAACAGTGCGAGCTCACTCGATCCTTTACAGCATGTACTATGGGGATGCAAGCGTTGGGGTCCCGCTTATCAGTGTCCTTCACTGTGCGACATGGCGCTTCGTGATGAATCGCGCGCTCGTTTCCTTGGAGCCGCCATGTCACTCCCGCGTCGACGACACGCGGCCCGAGACTACACGCGTAAGGATATACGCAATGCGACCTGTACGTTGCCCCTTCGCTTCATCGCGCCCTCATTCACTTGCATGGGGAGCCAGCAAGATAGCGATGGAAGTCGACTTGTGCGACGACTCTTCGCGCACAAATTCAAAATCCTCCACTGTGATTGGTTGGCGGAATATGCAGTGTATTTTCCCACCCCCACCAACACGAATCATGAGCAATCAAAGGCAAAAGCTGTGCGCGACGCGATGCCCGCTTCCGCCTGCGACGGAGGAGCGCGTCCATCTTCTTCCTTGCCGCGTGAAGCACGACGGCAAAGCTCCCATTTCGTCGTACTTTGTCGTGGACGAGACCTCCAACATGGCGCGATTCCGAGGCGTCCAACTGCAAGGCAATGCCGTCGACTTACATGCGTTGGGGTACTCTGGTCTCCTTGTGATCGACGAAGGACTCCGGGATGAATCTAACGCGAGCCACGCGTTTGGTGAGCCCGACGACACGTCGGCGTCGACGATTTGGGAATTGGATGGGCACTTCGCCACCATCGTCGACTGGCAAACCAAGGACAACCAGTCGCATGAACCTCTCAGCTCCCGGCTCGAATCCTGGTCGAGATATGCTGCTGCGGTACGTTCCTTCGACTTCCCTCCTTCGCTGCGCTTATACGATTCTCCCTTGCATAGATCCATGACGAATAGCGACGCACATAGTTCGCAACAACGACACATTTATCATTTGGATATATTATCACCGGCGATACATTTGCTGCTGTTTCATTTCTTGAATTGCTTTGTACCGCCCTGCATAATACCCCGACTGGTACCACGACAAGAGCAGCTTCGACAGGTCGTCGTCCCCCTCGATGGCAGGGAGCGACGTGTCTGGTCCAAAGGAAGGTACTGCGGCGGCAGGTGCGTGGGCGGGATGTTGATGGTGGTGGAAGGCGTTGAAAGTCGGTTGGGTGTGCAGCGGTGGGATGGAACTTCCTTGTCCGTGCGTCATGGCGTGTGCATAGGCTCGGGCATACGCATCAGCATACGACGTCGACGTCGCAGGAGATGCATGAGCTGAAGGATAGGGCGATGGTGCTTGGGACGACGGGTGGCCTCCGTCGAAATGAGCATGCTGGTACCCAGCGTGGAGATGGTATTGTGGGAAAGGTTCGTGTGGTCGGTGGTTTGTGTAAGGGGAAGCTGGAGGGTGGAACGACGATGTTGGTTGCGGGACATGATGGCGTTCGTCGTACGAGGGTGCTGGTGAGACCGGGGGACTTGCCCGCGCAGGGATATGCTGCTTCTGGGTGGGTTGAGTTGGAGCTGCCTTCTACCATCGATCGTGGATGCATTAGGTGATCCATTTCATCGAGTTCAACGGACATGCTGTACCTTCTTGGGTTTGGTTGGCGCTGCAGTTGATGTGGGTGCTGCTTTGTGCTTGTTCAAAGCTGCGTCAAATGCCTACATAACGAACCTCACTACGTTCATCCGTTCACATGAGGCATGACCTTACCTTGAGGATCGCCAGGTCATCCCATTGCTCGTCGTCCTGCGTTGCCATGTCTGAAAGTGGACAATGGTGTGGCGGAGAAATACACCAATCACATCCCAGGACAATTCAATGTTAATTTCGCATTTGCATGGCAACAAATACCGTTTTTAATTACAATCCGGAAAACATATCTTGAAGTATTTATTATTCGTTGTCGAATTCTATAAAAATACACCTTGATAATTTGAACCCATAGTATTAATACTTCACGACACCATTTTGCGCTTTGTTAATTCCAGCATATTTCAATATATTTCCACCAATGTTCGGTGTAATTCACCGAGTCTCCATGATTATATTTCACCCCAACCTAACAGTAAAACAGTACTCGAGTACATATACCTACCGGTGGTACCTAGTACTGCATATCGCCGTTATGTTCGCCCAATCTCCATGATAATTCACCGATCCAGAGATTAATTTCAGCTTTCGAAAATATAATTCCCCGACGAACCTTCATATTTCGACATTGTGTTTGCTCGTCACGACGCTTCTTCTCCATGTACACATTGCATGGTACGTAATACCTTGCCAACGAAGGTATGTAAGCTTACTTCGTAGTTGTCAGCCCATGAGGCGGGATCAACGCTTGATGGATAACGTTATAATAGAAAACCAAATGGCATCGTGTATACGATGTGCCTGGGACACTACCGCCATGCTTCAGCAGGATCCGTTGCGCATGATGGCGCGTCGTGTGCACGACACATCGCCCCCCAATCGCTCGTGTCGCTGCCTTGCCACGGGTCTTTGTCCTATCCGGACAAGCGATTCGGATGCACATGGTTGGGAGGCCGCGTGGAGGAGGGGGTGTTGTAAGATTGACGGAGCTGAGATCGGCAGGCGACAGGAGCTCCATGTCGTCGTCGTCCATGCCAAGACTTGTAGGGGGATGGAGGACTTGGTCGTGGGGCGCCGAAAGTCCATGTTCAACTCGCTGCGCTCTGCTCATGAGCTATCAATCCGTTCTCTCAAGTCCCCCCCCTTCATCCTCATTACTCAACGAGTTCCCCCTACTACTTGGTGGTTGCCCCGTACTACTATTGGATGTACGTTTTCAGGAATCGGCGTTGCGGATGGTGTTGTTTATGAAGCGCGGGACAGAGGAAGTGGCAGACTCAAGCGTGGCAAATGCAAGGCAAGTAGTTGGCGTGGGATACCTATGTAAGTCCTTTAGTGTAATTGAACGATAGTACGGCATAACGTTAGTTGTGGTGTGACAAGGGGTACAATAGTGTTGTGAGTGTTACCTGTGTTCGACCGACCGCGAATCCCAATTGGGTTTGGTCGTCGCCAAAGTCCTGCGAATAATACTCGCGTCTTCCTGACAGAGCTCGTCTGGATGAAGGGTTACAGTAGTTGTGGTGATGCGATGTACTGTACAGTAACGAGTGCTACCGGAGTACTACTATAGTACAAGGACCATTGAGAATCCAATAATTATATATATCGTTAGGCTGTTTTTCGAGGAAATATATTTTCGAACGATGGAAGCTGTGGTTGGGTGGATTATAACAGAGGTTGGGTGAATTATAACAGACGTTGCGTGACCTATTAATAGTACAACGGCGATAACGTTACTATTTTACATCGTCGTGAAATATAATAGAGATGGATGGTACAGTAGGGTCGCATCTGCTTAGGGGATTTCGTGACTTATTTAACAGAATATTGAAAAAAAAAGCTGAAATTATAAGCGCATTATGTAGCTACTAGTACATGACTAGCATATTACAGGAATAATACTTGGTATTTATTTCGTGTGGGGATAACTATGCGTAATGCACGCGCTCAGGGACAAGGTACAGCCGACACAACTCGCGAAAGTAACTGCGGAGGATGCGCTGCTCCATGTCTTTCTTGCTCGGGACTGGGTTGGACGCATTGAGTTCGGGGCACTGGATCAGTTGGGTCAAAATATCCACGTTCCTAGGCATATATCGCAGTGGTTTTACATTTATATATATATTCCAAGTTTTATATTTGTTTGCATAGAACAACAACGTTGTATGTACCTTGCGTTCTTGTGCTTTGTGTTGGCATGCAAGTGCACCAATGTTTCCAAGTACGACAGCTACAATATAAATAATATCAACAATCATCTATATCGCCACAATATACTGTGATCATATGTACTGTGTACTACTATTAACTATTCCTGTGAAGGGTAGTAACAGTTACCTCCCAAATGTACTGGAAGAAGGCGGGATCATGCTGCCCCGGTGACAGATGCAAGATGCGCAACCCATACGCAATTTCGTCACCGGGAAAGGTCTGGTATAGCACGGCCGCCGCCACATGTGCCCCCAACTTGACCAGGCAGTACGACTACATACATTCCCATATTGTCACCGTTCTTGTCATCAATATATAACGACATATGGAGATATTACCAGTCGAACGAGGGAACCGTGATCGATTACGTTTGCAAATTCAGGATCGGCAAAAAAGTTGGTGGCCAAGGACGCTGCGACCAAGTAACTTCGCACCGCCGCTTTGAAATCTACAATATCCCACCATATATATATATTTATATATATATTACTGTTGCACAGAGAAATAAAAATATACTTGTACGATCACATATCGTTGATACTTCAATTGTATATATAAACACAGAGAAATCAATAGTATTATTGTCGTCGATCCGCGAAATACCGTGAAATAAACATAAAACGTAAATAAACTTATCCATGAATATCATCATCATTCACACACATGTCATCTGAAATCAATAATATTAAAGGGCAAAGGTATGATAAAATAGGGCAACAACTAGTTAGTTATCCATGATTCACAAACGTGGATATATATATATAGAATATACCTCTATATAATATTTATAAAATGAAATATACACATCTATTCCAAAGTACAACAACCCAACACTTGCATATATATATATATAAATTATATATCCTCCAAGATCCAGAAATTCACACGTAAATATATATATTCAACGTGGTACCTGCAGCTGACGACAGTTTCTGGAGCACGATCGGGTTGACCGAGATGTCGGCTTGTGCGCAGTGCCATCGCGGGTCTCGAGGACATCTGGCGAGGAGCGCATGCAGACATGTCAGATGGACGTGGACAACGTCCGCCTGGGGCACTTTAACCGATTGCGCCGGATCTCCGCATGGCAAATCGGTAGCCGACGGAGCAAATGCCGTCAAAATGGCCAAGTCCCCATACGGCGTCAAGTCGTACGAGATGCGGTATTCACACTACTCGACCAAAAACAAATATATATTATTATATATATATATTATTAGTCACCATATATCCGACCACGAGTATGCCAAACCTATAAATCGAATGGAAAGTACATATATATATATATATTCATAGTGTGGATTCAGTCTAAATATGTCGAGACCCTTATCCTATCGAATGGGTCGTATCCAACTTTCGAGCTTTTGATTGGCTCTTATGACAAGAATATTCAGCCAATCACAAGTTCCAGTATGAGGCCAATGTTGATTCAAAACCATGCAAGGAGGATAGAGCGACAACAGCCCCTATATATATATATATATATATATTTATTTATATATCAATATATATTCGTACCAAGTTGAGCGCGTACATACGCTGCAGCAGCCCCGCCGTGAGCGAAATCACGACATGGAGGGCCGACACTGGCAGCCAGTCGAGCACACCGTCGATGGACTTGACGACCTGCTTGATCACGGCCTCGAGCAGCGTCAGTACGGATTTGATGGGAAACCCAAGCTCGGGAGATGCGCCAGATGCCGATGGCGGCGGCAGGCCACAGATTGCTTCCATGAGGGCTCCGACGGCAGCTGCCACGTCGAGTCCATGGGGGGGATGTGGTTGGGGTGGTGATAATGATGCTGTAGGTACGATCTCGTCTATATATATATATATATATATATATAAAACATCAATATATGCAAGTGTACTGTGTACATACACCCCAAATCCTGCATTCGAAATAGAGTATCATAATAGGTAGTAATAGTAGGTCATATCGTTATATATATATATATATATATCGCATTTTGTATTCGTTGTACTAGTACCTGACGTATTCGAATCGATTTGAATCGTAGTGTCCCACAGTTTGGTTTTCAAATCGGTCCATTTCTCTTGATACAACAACGTCTGCACGACCTATTCATATATAAATATATATAAATATATAAATATATATAAATATATAAATATATATAAATATAAATAAATATATATAAATATAAATAAATATATATATTTACGATAGATAGCCCTTGATATGTACAAGTACAAGCAGGCTTACACCATTTGTTTATATTACTCGGATGATATAATATATATGACACAAGCGTACCTACCTTGTACCTGTCAAGACCTTGGATCGGGGGTTGTGGAGTGTACTGGCGCTGCTGGCGAAGGGTACCCCCCGACAGCCCCACGGGCGCCCGCAGTGGAATATCGCAGCGGATGCGCTGAGCTACTGCGTCGGCATGCATCCCTTCTTTAAAGCAGCCGACATGGGCGTGGAGGTAGCCAACATCGTCGGCGGTCACGAGAAGGCGGCGGAGGGCGCAGATGCCCATCGACAGGATCGACGGAACTGATCTCCGAGGCAGTTGATGTGGACGCGATGGGTCCGTGGTTGGTGTCGACATGTCCTCCAATGGTAGCAATATCTACTCTCACAACCACGTTATTACATATATATATATATTGGTTCTGTTGCATGCACAAGTAGCACCATACATATACATTTTATATATTCCCATAATATACGCATATACATCCATCACTTTTGAATGGATAGTTATGTGATATATATATATATATATATATTGGACGATAGATATATATATATTGGACGATATATATATATATATTGGACGATATATATATATATATTGGACGATATATATATATATATATATATACATGTTGGTAGATGGCATTGAGAAGGCGTAGCTTTCGACATGCGACTACCGCCTCGTCTTCGTTTGCGTGGATGGTCCTGCCCTGTGTTGGCTGCTGGTGTTCCTCTGCCAAAAACTTCTTGATCTTGTACTCCAACTGACTTCGAACGCTATATTATATATACCATAAGTACATGTATATACATGTATGTAGGTAAAGGACTCAGCTCCCTCTCTAGGAAACTCCACAGGTCCACAACCATCACGAGGAAGGCGTACCGAGGACTTAGCACAGTAGTATTATTCCCTTGAGGTGGCGTCAGGCGGCGGAGGTTGTCTTGTTCCAGTGCTGGTAAGAGCTTTGCCCATTCATGATGGTCGCTCCACGTGAGCACCGCGGCGTCCGCCGTCGATGGCGGCGGCTTTGGCGCGCCGACCACCGACTCACACGCGCGTATATACCCGAGCAGTGTCTACATGATCACGTCATCGTTCCATAATGATCACGTCATATCACCACCAACACTTGATTACGTCATATCATCACATGATATGATGTCATAATTGTATATACACACAAGACAGTAGTATCACGACACAGCATGACCACAAAGACCCTGATCACGTCATCACGTGGGCCCTGGCACCACGATCACGTCATATTCTCGTTGGTTTTATACCCCAAACCATTGTATGTCAAGACAGGAATGATCACGTCATCAACATACACAGCATGGATGGAATACTCGGCAGACGCCGAGATATAACGTCATCCCGTGATACAATCACCCCACCTGACAGACGTACCTTGTCCACGGACCCCGCCGTCAATGGCTCGAAGCATGCGACGGCCTCGTCAAACTGGCGGCGGTGAAAGTAAAACACGCCCAAGTCCATCTGCAGCGCGCGGCGAAGCGACGCGGCCGCCGTCGACTCGAGCGCTAGTGACGCCTGGATGTCGTCCAAGAGCTGGTCTAATGGAACAAGGCCGGAGATGGACGCGAGCTGTTCGACTTCGTCCGGCGGCGGCTTGGCGTTGTCGCTCAATGGAAGCTTGTTGGCCACGGTCAATGCGCTCGTGTGCATCTTCTTGATCGCGACGCGGAGCTGCCATCGGTTCCTCAAGAGCATGGCGTCGTCGATGGCGATCTGCGCGACATCGTGCAAGTTCAACCCGCCTTTGCGGGGGTCGCTCGCGTACTTGACCAGGCCGTCCACCAGCGCTTTCTGCAGGTTCGTCGGTACCACGGCTTCGATGTCTTCGAGGGTGAACTCGAGCTGGAGCACCACCAGCGCCGCGAGACACTGCAACGTGTGGTCCCGCGCTTTCGTCGGCTCGTCGACCCCGGCAGGCTTGGCCTTGCGGAGGAGCTCCGTCAGCACGTCGTGCGCCGTGGGTGTCAACGTTGGGTTCGCTTTGAGAGCTTTCGTATGCGCGAGCAACTTGGCCGGGAGAAACAGAAAGTCGTACCAGTCGTTCTCGGCGTACGCGGGCTGGACCTCGATCGCCGGTTGCTGGAACAACGACCGGTAGGTTCGGTCGGCCGCGGGTACAGGGCGAGCGGGGCTGTTGGGTGATGGTGGAGGTTGACGATTAGTGCTTCCGCCGAGCCCAAAGACGAGTCCTCGCTTGTCAATGATGTCTTGGACGTCGTCGTCCGACGGCCGCGGGGTCCCTGGGCACTCCATAGTACGTACGTACGTATTGCTTGTGGGTTGCAAAACAAACACTCAATAATAAACAATCATTTATTTATAGGATAAGTAGTACTCCTATAAATAAATGATTGTTTATTATTATTATAGCACTACTGTAGTATTAATACTACTTCGAAGCATTAATACTATTAATAGCCCGAGATTGCGAAATAAATGAAAGCTTTTTTAGTGAAATAATAAATGAAAATAGCAACAATCCTGTTTTTAAACCAAATTTAGTCCTAAATAGGACTCCCACGACAGTTACAGATCAACAAACACGTCTCGAATCATAATCGAGATGCGGCGGGTGCGCTCGACCGGCTGGCCTTGGAAGTGCTGGACACCTGGAAGGATCTCATGTGTGTATCGATAGCGAACGCCGCCACTATGGAAGCCCCTTGTCGTGACGGACGAAGTCATGATGGTTGAATGTACCGCATGCAATAGAACGACCGGCGGGGCAAGAGAAGGTCGATGCGGTTGTCCCCGTGCTCTTCTTCGAAGCGCATGACGGCGGGGGAGAGCAAATTGAGTCCGGCCACAACTTGACCGGAAAACTACGTCGGGGTCGTCAGCAATGATGCATCTTGAGCATTGTACCTTGATGGAGTCCACGTGGGGCTTGATGTATCCTGCTTCCGCCAAGTCAATCACGTGTACGGGAGGAAAGTACTCCAAGTCCTGCGGCAGGATCGGCAGGGTGCGCACGCGAGCGAGAATGTCGGCAGCCTCTATGCGCGAGCTCAGAGATCCCACGGGAATACTTTGGAATGTGTACGAAGTACAGTACCTTGACTCCATTTCACGGTCTCCATTTCCTTAAAGTTGACGATCACTTGGTCCCAATGGTTCACTTCGTATCGTCTCCGCCGCAGGAGGGCGGCGGCTTCGTCGGCAAGCAAACGTTCTTCGTCAAGTGTCAACACGTCTTGCATGACTTGGAGGTCGTTCCAGACCAACGCGGCATCTTTGCACATGGATCGGTCCACCAAAGGCGAGTCTTGCCATGAGAACGACGTCGAGAAGGCTCGTTTAAAGCCCGTCGATCGATGGCACCTTCCGCCTCTACCGACGGCGGCAAATCCACGCGATACCAGTCCTCGCATGTGCCTCACCTGACCAAAGCAATTGTGCATGTCTGTTGCACCGACCGGAATGCTGTTATTTGATTGGCTCGTGATGTACCTCATAAAATGCATTTTTAATCCTACATATATTAACCAAATACAAGCGCTAGGAAATACATTTAAATCTCCTCGAGGGTTCCTATCATTGTGTACATGATGGCCAATGTGGCGCAGTATCGCGTCGGCCTCATCCTCCCGCTCAAGAAGACGCGAAATGGCCGCATGCAGGAGCTCCTCATGAGTCAAGACATGGGCATCCACTTCATCCACATCGATCTCGATGCGGTCACGTCGGCCCAAAACTTCCTCGACATGTATGGACCCCTCGACGCAATCCTTCACAAATTGGCGCACGACATGGTCTTCGAACCCCTCGGCGATGCGGCGGCAATCAGAAACATGCAGATCATCCGCGAGCTCACGTCTCTCCATCCCAACATTCCCTTCATCGATCCGTTGGAAAGCGTGCGGGTGTTGACCGATCGCGCCGCCGTCTCCCGCATGCTCGAGTCAGTTCCAGGGTCGCTCTTCCACCTTCCCCGCCACGCCATCCTCGACTCCGCAGCAGCCAAGGCCAGCATCGTATCTCAGGTCCATGCTGGTTTGTTTCCGCTGCCGGTGTTGGCCAAGTCGCTGGAAGCGTGCGGTGCGTCGTCGTTTCCTCAACCCTGGCTCTCATCCCCATTCTTTGTCACAGGCACCGACGCATCGCACGTGATGAAGGTCATCACTCGCGTCCAAGACATCGCGTCCTTGGATGTCTCTTCTCCCATCATGCTTCAAGTATGCGACGCTGCATGATCGCGTCTTCCTCAACACATCCTTCCCCCATAGGAATACATCAACCACGGCGGGAGGCTATTCAAGGGCTACGTGCTTGGCAAGGACATCCTAGTGGCTGAGCGCACATCCCTTCCGGACTTGTCGTCGTCCGCCGCCACCGTCGAATTCAACACCCAAGTGCCGTTTCCGACTTTGGCAGCATTTGAAACGTGTGCATCCACCTCCTCGCCGCCGCCGTCGCCGCCAACTCGTATGTGGACAACGACCTTGGACATGCAAGTCCAAGCGATTGGCCGCGCGATTCAAGCGACGACCGGCTTGAGTTTGTTTGGGTTTGACGTGATCGTGGCTGCCAAGACCAACCACCTTGTGGTCGTGGACGTGAATTACTTTCCATCGTTCAAGGAAATGACAGACTTTAGCGCCATGCTCCGCGCCCATGTGCGATCCGTGATTGAAACGCACACGTTGTAGATGTCCATCGTGCCTGTCCACATACGATGGTGGTGGCGATAGAGCCATTGCGTCAAGTTATATTTATTTAATATAACGGTAGCGGAACATTCTGTATGTTGTTAAATTTATATTTTCAAAATAAAAAACATTAGATAAAATTAAAAAAATATTACCAAAATATAAATATAAAAAATAATATATTTATTAAAAAGATATATCTTCTATACAAAGACGAAAAGGTCCTAATGTAGTTGGTCGGCAACGATAACGTCATCGCATGTTTGCCGTGTTTTGGTTTTCATAGCACCTTGTGAAGCTTACTTTGAAGTATAACGTTTGTTTCATTGTTCGTACGTTGTTTGGCTGCGATAGAGTCTACCAGTGTAAAACCAGGTAGTAAGTACTACTTCACAGCAAACCCTATGAGCAACACCGTCAATTACTGGGGTTTGCACTCAGGTGCAGATGGCGTGATGTGTGTGCACGTGAATGCAAAACAAGCTGGCCCTGTCGTGCAATGCAAATGCGCTTGTTAGAACATGCCAACGAGAGATGAAAACACGTCACAGCCCATTCGATGGTGTTGACCATAGACGTCTACGGAAGAGACCACACGAGCGCTGTAGCCAAGACCGCCATCATTGCCTCCTCCATGGACCCCGTTGACTCGACAATGAAGGAATATCAATGTCATTCTTGACTGGACTTGGCGGAGATCGTTTGGGATGGCCAAGCATTGAGAAACCAAATAGACGGGGATCGTAGAATGTAGTTTGTGTGAAGTAGTAATCGTATTATGCCGTTTACAATTGGCCGGAGTTGGCAATCACAACGGGCTTCTTGGTTTGGCCAGATTGGGAACCGAACGATTCAATCTTGGACACAACGTCCAAACCTTCGGTGACGCGGCCGAACACGACGTGCTTGCCGTCCAACCAGGGGGTAGCCACAGTGCAGATGAAGAATTGCGAGCCGTTGGTGTTGGGGCCGGCGTTGGCCATGGACAACACACCGGGCACGTCGTGCACGCCGCTGAAGTTTTCGTCCGCGAACTTTTCGCCGTAGATGGATTCACCGCCGGTGCCGTTGCCGCGGGTGAAGTCACCGCCTTGGCACATGAAGTTGGGGATCACGCGGTGGAACGCAGAGCCCTTGAAGTGCAAAGGCTTGCCAGACTTGCCGACACCCTTTTCACCAGTGGCCAACGCGCGAAAGTTTTCCGCAGTGCGGGGGACCTTGTCGGCGTACAATTCCATGACGATGCGGCCAACAGGTTCGCCGCCAATGGTCATGTCGAAGAAAACGGAAGGGTTGACCATGGTAAGATGCTTGAGATGGGAAATTCCAAAATGAATCTCTACCCGCCACACACTGACCGAAAAAATCCCCTTCCCCTGCATTTTTATTCGTGAATCTTAGATAATACCTTGGAGTTACTATGGAGATTCCACCAACGTAAAATAATACGCCGGATCCAACCCCCGTAAGTGCGTGGTACTTGGTCACTGATTTGATCCGGATATAAAACTCATATCCGTACAATTAAATCCTATCCCATCGACATGATGAATGATCATCGTTATCGAGGCAGAAGTACCGCAAGCATCATGAATAGGACGTCATGCATTGCTTGCGATGCAATGTTGGTGCATGAATAGGACGTCATGCAGGGATGTCTTTCGACGGACCTACCGGTAAGTACATTTGCTGAAAGAACATGTCGTCATCGACCATATAGGTACAGGCAACCCATAAGGGTGTAGGGAAAATTATTTCTCCTTTTTCCCCCAAGTATATAACAGTAAGGAGGGAAGCCTCACTGAATATTTCCCTAACAAGTACCAGAAAAAGAAGGGGCCAATTGAAAAAGTATCTCTTCCCAAACGCGCCAAGTACTTACAGTGTATTGAAGGCATACAGTAGTTACCGGAAAAGGTTGCGTAGCACAAATAGACTAACTACTCAGCCCATTTGGTCCGTCCATATGCCAGAAAGGAACGAATAGTTCTTGTAGCAATGGTCCTACTAACTTACTGGATATGCGAATTGGATGCTGTACGGTAGTCATGTTGCAATGCACTTCGAGTGATTTGTGACACCTAGGATGGCTGCAGCGTTGCCCAGTCCATTTTGAGCTCAAACTGGTATCATCGGCATTCGTTGACGTAAGCTTATCTCGACTGCCAAAATGATCAGACCACCGCCAAAGTTTGTATCCTGTCCATGTAGAGATGCTACTGTCTCTGCATGTAAACCAGCGATTTTGGGACGCGCAAGTTGGTGAACAAGCCGAATTTGCAACCCGAGTTTCAAGTCACCATTAACGTAGAATGCCACTTGCTGTTACACATAATTCTGGATTAAGGCATCCTTTTTGAATCCGAATTTGTAGACAATTTTCAGGGCAATCAATCCACCAATCATCGACATGCGATGTATTTCGCACAACTGGATACAGCGCATCATCATATATGCCACACGACGAATTCCCCGAGTGAGTGGGTTACACACCCACTCAATTGGTCAAAACCCACTCACTCAGGGAATTTGGTACTATTGACCTAAAACGTCCCTGAGTAAGTGGGTGGGACTAATTGCTTGCTACGATAAGTACAATCCTATGGTTAACGTGAAACACGAAGGCATACAACGTTGTACACCGTTAATCGTACCAACTACT